CTTAGATGCAAAAGCCCCTTGGCTCACCTGTTGCAGAAGCGTGTTTTCTACAAAGCCCCTGTTCTCCCAGGGCCCGGAAGTGTGTCCCACATCAGCCGCGGAGCCTGCTCGCATCCCAGAGGACAGTGCTCTGGACTTAGCAGCTCCAGATCCCTTCTTCTTTCTGCACAGAAAGGGCTGGTGGCTGCTGTGTGGGTGGGGGGAAGGCCCCCCCTCCCCTGAGGGGCCATCAGGGCAGCAGTTCAAGGGGGACATCTGAGGGCAGCTGAGCAACGGCCTCCCGCTTTCTTAGCTTCTCTGTTTTGACCCAGCTTGAGGCAGGACAGCTGGTTGGGCTTTGGAATGAGACAGACCTGGATTTGAATCCTGCCTTTACCATTTCATAACCGTGTGCTCTTGGGAAAGTGACTTTCAGAGCCTGTCTCTCCATCTGTGAAACGGGAGCATGACCCCTAATTTTATAGTTTGTTTAAGGGTTGACTAAGAACATGTGCTCTAAGTGCCTAGCACAGGTCTGGCGTGTGGAATCTGCTTGGTGAGTATGAAGTCCTCGCCGGCTCTGCCCCACCAGCCATCAGTGCACAACGTCCAACCGCCTATCACAGTTCGTGACTCTGGCTTCTCATCAGCCCGCCCAGGCGCCCTGGTAAGGAGTCCCCAGTTTCATCCTGCCTGTCTTTGTGGGCTCTACTCCTAGGACCAAACAATGGCTCTAACTTGGCCTGCCTTGTCATCCAGGTACTAGGCTGACCCCTGGGCAGCAATTATTACCAGCCTGCTGCCTTGGACTCCTCCACTCCAGGCCTGCCCTGGAGCTTGGCTTTTGAGCGTCTGCATTCAGGCGTCCCTCTGGAGATTAGTATCATGGCTCCTGGTAGAGGTGCCTTCTACCCACCCCCAGTAGTCCTTCCTTAACCTCTGGAAGCCCCTCGGGGGCAGGCTCTTGGGGTCCTCTTGTCACCCACAGAGCCCAATGTATTTAAAAATGGTAGGTGGACCCCAATGAAAAAGCAAAATGGAGGTGTGCTCACCCGTGATGTCCCCAAGGTCATGACTATCCAGCCCCCACAGCAGCCCTGGGGAGTTGCGTTTAGTACCAAACTCTTCAGCCATAGGCCCAAGAGCCCGGGGCACAGACCTTGTCTGAGCAGCAACACCAATCAACATTAGATGAGGCAATCTCCTGTGAGCCAGCTCCGATTTACAGTAAATGAGCTGTCGCTCTGTCCAGTTGAGATCTTTCTGGCCATGTGCATCCAGAGAATGTTAGAGGCAGTGGCTTAGGGAATCCAATGTCAAAAGTACCTTTCAGCGAGAGACTGGTGGTATGTTAGTTACTGTTGTTGAATTAACCATCTCCAGTGTCTGCCTCTTTTTCTATCTTAGATAACTCTGTATGATAGGTGGTTATTTTTTTTTTAGACAAAAAGGTTTTCTGTGCTTATTTGGAACAGTGACTCTAAGACATTAATGTCTGTGGATCTGCATGAAATCTCAGGAAGCTGCAGATTCTGCCTTTGGAACAAGCCCCCAGGTGATGCCGATGCTGTGGTCCTTGGACCACACTTTGAGTAGCCGGACAGCAGTGGCGATGGTATGTAGGCAAGCACCTTACTTGCCAGGGGCGTTTGCATGCTTCAGCCCTGTGTTGCAGACTTTCTGGAGTCTGTCCCTTTATGGAGTGGGGGCTCTGAGTTAGCACTCTAGCATTCCGCACGGAGGTCCTTTGGCAGTAAGATCATTTCTTTCACCGATTCTTGGTGTTAATGACACGTGACTCCGGATTTATAGCCTTGAGGTTTCCTCTCTTCCCCGGCTGCCAGTGCTCTCCTACCTGGCCCTGTCGTGACGTGGCCGGCGTGGTCCTTAACAGCCCTGACAGCCTTCAGAAGAGAAACTCAAGACTACCCCTAGGATGCTCCCCTCATACACCCCATTCTTTGAAGGACTCCCCCCTCCACCCCATCACTGGACATGACTAACAGGTAACAAAACTACCTGGCTCAAATGTTCTCAAGCAGATTGCAAGGTGAGGGTGGGGGGCATGGCAGCTTCAGGCTCTGAGTTGTGGAGGTGGCCAGAGGGAGAGGCCTACCGCCCTGAACCAGAGACGTCTGAAACAAGTCAGCAGCAGGGGCTGTAAGTTTTTTTGTTTGCTGTTGGGGCAGGAAGGGGACAGGACAGAGTAACAAGGAGATGGGAAGGGATATCCAATGTCACCTGCTGCCACATCAGGAGGGCAGGTAGGGGCTGTGGTATGGTTTATGTGCAGTAAGGGACCACCCCGAAACGGGCCTGCTGGGTGAAGACCATAGAAACGGGAGTAGGGGGGAGGTTTAAGTTAAAAACAAGGAAAAACCCACAAAACAATCAGCTTTGCATTTGGCGCGTTTCCTGTGTCCATCTAGGTTTGACTGGGGGAAATGGAGGGAAAGGAGTGACCTCTGCCGTCACTGGGCTGGCTCAGGCCCCCCTGGGGCAGCTGCTCTGGGAGGCAGGGGCCCCTCCTCCCCAGTGGCTGCCCTAGCCTGTCGGCTCGGTTGGGTTCCATCTCTTACCTAACAGTCCAGTCCGAGAAGAGGCCAGTCTGGGGGAACCATGTGAGGCAGAGCAGCTAGTGCTAGCCTGTGGGACATGTGGCCGGGTGTGGCTTCCCCACAGACATTTGTGCATGGGGAGAGCTGGAGAGGCATCGCAGCAAGTCTGAGGAAGCTGGGCTGGCAAGGGCTAAACCCGCCCCTTGTGGTGGAGGGTGAAAGGGCAGAAACTCACGGTCCTCTAGAACAGTCTGTGGAGTGGCCTCCTCTCCATACAGACTCAGGCTCCCTGACTCCTAGTCAAAGCCCTGGGATGTACCAGATTATGGGGGCTGCTCTGGCAATGACCATCCCTTACCTCGGTCTCATCCTCCTTTACCTTCAAAAAGCTCAGGTTAAGGACAAGCAAAAAGAAGCCTTTTGACAAAAATCTTTCCTTCTTAGCACCCCTCCCAACTAAATTAAAACTCCCCACTCAACAAATCCACAGGCCAAAATAGTTTAAAACTGTCTTAAAAAAAATGGACCAAGTTCAGCTTGCTAACTTTGCTAAAAACTAAATGGCCCCCCAAAAATACTAGCCTGATTTAAGACACAGGAAGGACCTCGGTGGCATGTTACCCTATCAATCAGCTGTCCCTCTGAGCCTGGCAGGAGATTCAAGGCAGATGGACAGTGGGGAGCTCCGTGGGCAATTTTAGATGCTAGTGGCCTTGCTCCTCAGAAAGGCTTTCCATCTGCCAGGCACTCACCAGGGAGCCGAGCAGGTGGAGAGTCTGGGGTGGCTTGTCAGAGAGCAAGTGACAGACACCAGGAGGCGAAGGTCAAGAGCATGTTTACTTCAGGTGACAGAGACGCTCCAAACACTATGCTTCGTTCCCAATTTGCTTCACAACAGCAGGCGCCCCTTACACGTTGACTTAGAGATCACGTTCGTCTAGCCCCCACCTGTCTTACAACTGAATCCAGCCAAGGAAATGCGTTGGCAAAGTATTGAGTACTAAGTTCAGTTAACTCTAGGACTCTGGAGCAGGGGAGTATTCAATCTGTTCTCTCCCCAGCTGTTCCTTGAAATCCTGTCCTGTGTGGCGATTTTTTTTTTTGGCTCCGCTAACCAAAGCTATGCACACTCAGCTTCCCTGTCACCTGTTCTCTGGGGTGACCGGAGAAGCTCCCACTCTGTGTGCAGATGGGGACAGGGGCAGGGCATGAGGTGACTGGTGACATATCTGCATCTACACATCCACACATGTATATAGAAACAAAATATTTTAATTCTTTTTACATGGCCACAGGCTTTGTCAGGTGAACTCCAGCAGGCACCTCTCGTGGCTGCGAGGGGATGGTGTGGTGACGTCATCCCAGCCAGTCCATATAAGCTACAGTCCCCATTCAGCACAGCCAGCCTTATGTGGCAGATACGTCGCTGCCTCCTCAGGTGACCGAACCGCAGCTCATCCCAGAGGTCAGAAGCCTCGAAACACCCATCATGCGTCTTACCCCTATTCTGGAATCTTATAAAACATTTATATATATATATATAGCACAATAAACGTGCTTATTATGCACTCTAACATAGAGTACAGGAACACACACCACGGAGCACAACCCCAGCCGTCTCCACAGTGGGAAAAGTGCGAAGGTCAAACGCATACACAAGGTGTGGCAGCAGAAAGGTATAGAGCACCACGCTCCATGCCTTTCCACAAGACCCGACACCGCGAACTCGTCATCTTCGTCCCGTTGGTGGTAGGAGCATTAACAGAAACTACGTCACCTTCTAAGGGCAGGGGATGCCAGACAATCTGGTGTGGAGCAGAGAGTGATTACGATCCAGAGCTGATCTAGAACTAACTGCTGAAGGTCAGCCTGGCTCACGACCCCAGGTGGAGGTCTGCTCTCTGGCGGGCGGGACCGGCTTTGGGGGCCGAGGGCTGACGTGATATCTGTCAGACACACACATTCTCACACTCACACACTCCGGGGGAAAGTGCATTTCCAAGAGCTGATACGAAAACATTGGCACACTCTTTTGACACAGGGTATGTTTTCAAAGCATTCCCCCAGCTGCTGCAAATTCTCCTCCCCGCTCTGCTCTAGAACTCTGCACTGAGTTGGACCAGGTCTGGAGAGAAGGCCCTGCGCCGCACTGGCGAGGTCTGTGCATGCCCGGGAAGAACAGCAGGGAGGGGACAGCTGCAGAGTGTCGCCAGGGGAAAGGGGAAAGGCCCTGTGCCATCTTACGCACGGTTCTCCCCTTCCCCTGCTGAGTAATAAACTGCTCGTGGGTCATCCCAGCTAGCCAGACCAAGACTCCCTGAAAAGTTTCCGGTACTGCCCTACACGAAAACATGTGGAGAGGAAAAAAGGCTGGTATGTCGAGTTCTATTTTTGCATTTCCAGTAGTAAGTGCTGTTCTGCAAGCTCAGAGGAAGTGGTCCCTGGCCCTTCTTAGGGCCTGTGCTAGGAGCTCTGCACCAGGCGTCTGTAATGGGGCATGACCTCGTGCTCCGGCAGATGAAGAGCAAACTCCAAGGCCACTAACACTGGGAATTCAAAGGCAATCAGTTCTCGTCTATTCAGCCGGAACTTCTCTTCCAGTTTCTGCAACAGAATGAAAGGAAACCAAGAGCATATCAGCTTTGCAATCAAAGTCCTTGCCTTTCTCCACATGTAAGCTCCCTACCCACCAGCCCAGGAGTGTTTACAGAGAAACCCATTACAGGCAAGACTGTGGAGGAAGAAAGGGAGGCAGGCTTCAGCTGTACTTCCTGCTCTCAGTCCTGGTGAAAGAGTCGAACGTCCCCGAGGACCCACGGTCCCACGACTTCATTTACTCTCTCAATAATCTTATAAGTTCAATGTGACATTTATGCCCACTTTACAGAGGAGAGAAAACAGGGTCAAGAGGGTAAATAGCTGAGCCTAAGGTGAAATGGGACAGTAAATGGCAACGCTGAGATACCAACTCAATTGAGATTTCAACTCCACCTGTTACAAGTAGCTTATTCAGGCTTAGAGGGAAGACTAAAAAGATCGCACATCACCTACAACAGCAATGACCACCTGGGAAGTTCAGGATTGGGTGGGCGGACTCTATGTAGTTTGGTCCTTTCACACACGAAGACCCAAGACCTGTTGAGATCAGCTCCCTTCCAGGGTGTCATACAGCCTGAGTGTGTGCATGTGAACGGCCGGAGCACGCGGCTGTGTTTAGCTTGCACCCAGGGGCTCCCCGCTGGCACCAGAATATACACCATGAAGCACCTCAGCCATCTCCGTGGCTGGGGGAGGCCGGAGAAGAGTGAGTCAAACACACACGGTTTGGCAGCAGAATGCACCGCGCTCCATGCCTTTCCACACGACCCAACGCTGTGAATTGGTCATCTTTGTCCCATTGGTAGTAGGGGTAGAAACAAACTATGTCATCTAAGGGCAGAGGATGCCAGACAATCTGGTGTGGGGCGGAGCTCAATCCACCCAACTGTGGGCGCTGCTGGAGTAGACATGAAGGAGAACGACCAGGGGAGGGTGGGCAGGGAAGGCCTTGTTTTTGCCAGGACACATTCTGCTCTGGCTTAGCCGGTTTGGGCTTAAAAAACAGAACAAAACAAAACTCCCCCGCAGAGCCATTGGTGGCCACTGATTATAACAGGGCTGGGACCCTGTGTCAAACTAACTGCTACTGCAAATGTGAAAACCACTGCCTGTATATCCTGCATGGACACACTGTCTGGTCTATTACTAGGCTACAACTAAATGTACACAACCTCACACTTGTCAAGATTATTAGTTCAGTTAGTATCTATGTAAACCTGTTGATTCTCAGATTTAGTAACCAAAGTTCCCCTCCATGTTCCTAAAAGTATATACTATACAAGCTAGAGGATTATGCACCATTTCTTAGAAGCAGCAAAGCACTGACCTAAAGAACATTCTTTCTTCCACTGATGGATGAATGGATAAACAAAATGGGCAATACACATACAGTGGAATATTATTTAATCTTAAAAAGGAAGGAAGTTCTAACACAACGTTACAAAATGGATGAATCTTGAAGACCTAATGCAAGGAGATAAAGCCAGTCACAAAAGACAGACAGTGTGTGATTCCACTTCCGTGAGGTCCCTAGAACAGACTAGCTCAGAGAGGCAGAAAGCAGAATGCTGGTGGCCAGGGCCTGGGAGGCAGAGGGAGTGGAGAGTTATTGCTTAATGGGAAAAGAGTTTCAGTTTTGCAAGATGAAAAGGTTCTGGAGCTGGATGGTGGTGATGGCCACAACAATATGAGTGTACTTAATACCACTCAACTGTAAACTTACGAATAATTAAAATGGTAAATTAAAGCAAAAAGAATGCTCTTTCTTATGTGGGGAATACCTACGTTAGCTTCCTTTCTGCTCTCCTTTGCCACGGAGACAGCTGCACAACTAGACATAAAGGGCATCGTGTTAGGCATGTCTTGTGTTTTCTGTATTCTGAGGTTTGACATCTGGGGCCTTGCTGATCCTGGAGGCACGGCCACTTTCAGGGTCAGCCAATTCCTAGAGAGGGTGGACAACCTGCCTGGGGGCACACCTTTCATACCCAAAACAACCGATCCAAGGCCTGCACCCCAACCTTCTCTGGGCCTCTATCCACCCGCCCTAATGACGCAGGGCCAGGAGGTAAGTAGGGTGGCCCCCATGCCCTAAAGTCTACTGAAATTAGTCTAACTATCCAGTCCTAAGCCTGCTTAGGCTGCCTTGCCTGTTCCTTCCTGTGGAAGCCAGAGTGAAGACTCCTGCCCACAGTATCCCTTTCTCCCTCCGCCTCCTAACCAACCTTGGTACTTCCCCACATGGCCCCCCCAAGGTATGCTGCCTACCCCGCCAAATGCATGTTGGCACCCTATCCTCTAGCATGATATTAACTGGGAGGCTTTAGGACATGGTCAGGTTGAGGAGCTGATACGTGGAGTCCTCACAATGTGATTGGTGCCCCTGTAAGAAGAGACCAGGGAGCCTGCTTGCTCTTTCTGTGCAAGGGGAGGACACTGCGAGGAGGAAGCCATCCACAAGCCAAGGAGATGACTCTCACCAGGAGATAATGCAGCTGGCACCTTGGTTTTGAACTTCCCAGTTTCCAGAACTGGGAAAAACCAATATTTAAGCTGCCCTGTCCATGGTATTTTGTTATGGCAGATAGAGCTAAGAGACTTCTTTTGGGAACTGTGTAAGCTAACTTTTCAATGGCAACTGTCTCCTGATCTGTTGGCTTTACTATATCTCAAATTTTCTATGAATACACTGTATTTTATTTTAAAACGGGCATTCACATATCCATCTAAGATCAAGGTTGCTTTTCTTTGATGGGGCTCTCCTTTAAAAGAAGCTACTACTGAATCAAACCCACACCTTTCCCCACAGACGAGGCAACTAAGGTCACAGGAAGCCAAGGTCTGATGGACACGCTGTGGGTCACATTGCTCATAAGTCCCCTTTCCATTACAGTGGCTTCTGTGGCTTTGAGAATAATTTCACCCCTCATGGTGTCCAAAAATTGATTTTTATGGCCAGACCCAATATGGGGGGGGGGGAATCTTGTCAAAGTGGATCATCCCTCTGTTCTAGGACAGCCTTAGATGTGGGGCCAGACATCTGCTGCAGGATGACCTCACGGCCCTGGTCTCACAGTGGCTACTAACAATCGGAATTCTGGGCAGGATCATCGACCAGGCTCTTCCCAGGTGCTCCCTCAGCCAACAGGACTCAGGTCACTTACGTCAATTAAATGCTTGACTTCGTGTTTTTTGAGGTCACTTCCGATTTTGGCTGCTAATAGTACACATGCTCCAGCACAAAGCTTCCGGTTCTGTTTGTTTAGCTTTCCCTTGAGGGCGAGCTTCTCAAAATAGACAAAGGCCATGGCCACCGTGGGCTCCTCAAAGCCGCAGTCCTCCTGGGCAAGCTTCCGCATCTCTCGCTTTAGACTAGAGAAAGACAGGAAGAAAGGAAGATTATTAGAACTTGGGAGTTTCAGAGGACCCCAAAGAAAAACATTAATCCATCCTGAAAGCATTTCCTTTTTCTCATTCCCAGAATGGTGACGTGGAATCGGACTAAATCCCTAGGAGTAAGAAAATTCCATTACATGTGGGCAACAGACTTAGGCTGCTGGGGCTCTTCTCTGCTGGTGGAATTGTATAGATGATGTCAGTAAGGGACACAGAGGACCCCACTGAACCCAGGTGGCATCTGAGAGTCTCTGGGAACTAGGAGTAGAGCTACCCAAAGGAAAAGAGGAAAACTATGATGGGGAACTATGATCATTCCAGAGAGGCACTTTCAGAAATAAATTAGGTGCTCGGTATCAACTCTGCTGAGTATCAGTCACGTTCAAGAACCATGACAGAAGAGGAGTTTAGGCTAACAGCACAACAGCCAGTGTGCTTAGGAACGCTGCCCGGCTAACGGACAAAGTGTGAAAACTTTTTTTTCTTACGTCTCTGGCTTGGAACATGCCAGAATCAAATCAGTATTGGGAGACACAGCATGTAAATATTGGCACATACTCCAACACTGTGTTGGCGTATAGTCCAGCCCTCATCGCTACACGCACTGAAAATCTGTCCTGGCACGCAGATACAACATCAGTCAGCTCCTCTCCAGCCTGGCAGATGTGGGTCACCACAGAGTCAATCCAATCAGCTGAAATCAGGGGAAATACAGGCCTGATTTTACTTTGGCTGTTTTACTAACTGCTTAAAGCTTAAAGGTAGCGCTTGGCTGTCAACTCTTGGGTGGACGACTGTGGGTGAAGCATTACCTCAAATGCTGTGACGCCTACTCTTTTCTGTTTTGTCTACATTGGAGAAAACAGGGAGTGGCAGGTTTCCTATTCTGAGTTTTCTGTAACATAACTCCTACTGAACTGATTGATTATTCTTTCACTTAAGGAAACCACCCTCAGATGCATGTCAAGAGCTCATGTCAAGAGCCCTGCCATCGGTCCTGCTTCCCTTGGCTCTCACTCATGGAGGCAGGGGTCAGCCAGCATCAGATGAGCTTCTTTTTGCTGAACATGCCCGTGTTTTATTTCCCCAGAACTACAGGAAGAACCATCATACAAAGCGTGAGCTTAATGCATGCCAAGTGAGAGTCGGAATGGAAAGGAAAGTTCAAGTGGATGTCGATCCTCACATACCTCCTTATTTTGCTGAGTGTTAGTTTAATGTGAGGAAATTTCTCCTTGAAGGTCTCATTCATGTCCTTCTTGAGATCTGAGGGCTTCACGTAGTCAATGACGGTGGTCTGTAACACATCAGACAACCCGGGTCACTCATTAAAATAAGGGTTCTGGGTGGCAGTTACGTATATGTTACAGCCACCTCACAACTTCTGACACCACCAAGCAATGGGGAAGCCAAGAGGAGAGCCACAGCATGGGCCCTGTTGAACCCGAGAGCCTGAATGGGACGTGGTCTCGGGAGATAGATGGAATCCCTGTGACAACAGGACCTGGTGACATCTGAAAACACCGGCCTCGAGCCAATCAGGAGTCAGTGTCTGGAAGGAGTGGAGCCCCTCCTTCAGTTCCTGTAGTTCAGCCTGTTATTCATACAGCATAGTGTTTACAGCATCGAGTGTGGACCCACACACGTGGGTTCAATCCACACTTAACTAGTCGTCTGGCTGTGGGACACTTCCACAACCCCAAACATCAGGTTTCACATCTGTAAAATGAAAACAGTTAACAATGCCTACTTCATATGACTACAGAAGTAAAGTGCTCTGTGCGGTGCATGGCATACAGCAAGCACTCGATAAATGTTAGCTATTATTTTTTTAACTGTGGCAAAATATACATCACGTAAAAGGTACCATCTTAAGCATTTAAAAGCATGCAGTTCAGTGGCATGAAGGACGCTCACATTGTTTTGCAGTCATCACTGCCATCCGTCTCTAGAAATTTCATCTTCTTGCAAAACCAAAACTGTGCACCCATTAAACAATGCCCTACCCCTCCACCCCCCACCCCAGCTCCTACTGGCAACCACCATTCTGTTTTGGACTGGACTTCTCCAGGCACCTCATTCAAGTGCGATCACACAGCATTTGTCCTTTTGTGCCTGGCTTGTTTCACTCACTATCGTGTCCTCCAGGTTCAACTGCAGTGCAGGGGTCACAATCCCCTTCCTTTTTAAGGCCGAATCACATTCCATTGTGCGTACTTGATGTCAGCTATAGTTAATAGTCCTTTAAACCTTGGGTTTCCTCCTCTCCCCCCATCCCACCCTTTTAGCAGGCTCCATGCCCAACGTGGGGATTGAACTTACAACCCCTAGATCGAGAGTGGCATGCTCTACCGACTGAGTCAGCCAGGTGCCCCTCCCCTCCCCCTTCCTCATCCTATCCGTCCTTAAGACAGGTTCCTCCAAGCCTCTGCTGAGTAGCCAGGTCTTCCCTGCTCATCTGTGCCCTACACTGTTAACTCTGAATCAGACACAGTCTCTGGCTCGGTCTCACCAGCGTAGCCTCATCCCCTCTCAGGGGCGTGCTTTCAAAGGGCAGCAACAACGCACGATGCCTCTTCTGGCTGGCCATAGCCAGAGGCAATAGCCTTCGCCAGGCAAAGCCAGAAAAAGAAGAAACAGATTCTGACAAGAAGGCCCGTTCCCATGGATGGCTGCTGCCAGCTTCTTCACGGGCAACAGCCTGGCCTTTTCCAGAAGATGCGTCAAAGGTTTCCTCAATGGTTCTAACAAAGGTTGGCAACTATCTGTAAACACCTCTATTCAGGAGATGCTTGGTTGGGCAGGATGTTCATTTTTATTTTCTTCAGGATTTTAATTTTTAAGCAATCTCTACACTCAGCGTGGGGCTCAAACCCTCAACTCCAAGATCAAGAGCTGCACACTCTAGGACTGAGAGGGGCCAGCCAAGCACCCCTGGACGGACAGGATTTTAGCACAGGCACATGAAATGCCTCTGGTGTCAGTCAATAACCAAGAGGAAACAAAGAGCAAGCATGTCCAAATTCACACTGATCTGAACGGCACCTTCTGAACAGCAGCTTTGGGGACTAAAAGCAAACCAGAGCAACAGTAACTCAAACAGTTGCACTGAACTTGTTCGGAACTTTCTCAAATTCTGGGTGGAAGTAGACTTGGGGCAATGCCCAGAGTCCTTCCTTGGAGCCATGTCTTTCTGGCCCTATCAAGAAGGCTCTCCCTCAGCTGGCCCGGGACATGCCCGTCCTGGTAGCCACCGTGTGCACCTGCGACGTGCCAGCAAGGGGCAGGAGAGTGGTGATGCGGCAGCAGTGTGCAAACATACACATGCACACGCACTTGCATGCAGCGACGTTCTGCTGAGCAGCGAGGCAGAGTGCACGGGACTTCATGGAGGCCACTTACTGCCAAGGTCTGGCAGAGAACGCTTCCCCTGTGGCAGCCCTCCAAGATGGCTTTGTCATCCCGAACAAACATCTCCTCTGGGCCGAACAGGATGTAAGAGTTCTCACTTAGGAAACAGGCAGAATGGGGAACTACGTCTGACATTCTTATCTCAAGCTGGACCCACCGGCCAATCAGCCAATCCTTCTGTTTCCTAAATACCCAGCCCCCCACCCCTCTCTTCTACCCCTCCCCAAGCATCCTGAACTCTGCGACAGCCTCTCCTACTCTTCCTCGGCGGATGAAAGCTCAAGGTTTGCTGTGACATAAGCAGGCTCAAGCAAACACTCATGGGCCCTTGTTGGGGACTGAAGCCCTGTGAGCCCCAAGCAAGGATATCCTAGACTGGGAAGGGGTGGTCTGGATCCTTCTCTGTGGCAACCACAGCAGCCCCGCTTTCCTCGGTCTTCTACATAGATCACATAGCACTGCTTGCTCTCTCACCGGCAGAAAAGCAGCTTGTAGGTGCGTTCCAGCCACCTCATCTCACAGATGTGGAAGCAGAGGCTCAGAGGGGTGAAGGGGTGAAGGGGTGAAGGGGCAGGGCCAGCACTGGGAGCCGGGTCTCCCAGCTCGCCACATGCACTGACTTCCTGTTTCCCTTCTCTATCGGGCCAAAATGAGAGCAGTGGACAGCCTGAGACTGCTAGCAGGTGGAAACGTCTGGGTGCTGGTCAGTGGCTCTGCCTCCAGCAAGCTGGGCAACTCTGAGAAAGACGTTTGACCTCCTTGGGCCTCGCCTTCCCTTCTCTGAAATGAGGGAAGAATACCTCCTGTGGCTGCTTCATAGGTTTGTTTACACTGAAGATCAAACAAACAGAACAGATCGTACCTAAAGGACCCTGGAGAATTTTATCGAGAACACGGAAATGGGAGATGGCACAAAACAGGGTTCTGCTCCAGGCGCAGAGAGTCAGGGTGTGAGGGTGGGGCCCTGGATCCGCATCATGATGTCACCCAGGTGACTTTCCTACGCATCACAGTCTCCTCCCCTGGCTAGCATCCAGGCCACTGTCCCAGTGATTCATCTTCACATACACTGTGGCCTAGATACCCAGCCCTCTCCTGGGAACACGCCTTTTGCCGTACTTTCTACTCCTTTACAGCTAGGATTCCAAATACAATTCTGGTGCTTCCTGTCCGGTGCTCCGGCACGAGGAGGCAGCACTGAAGCTGAGTGCCATGCTTCTGTTGATTCTGCTGCCAAGAAAAGTCATGGCGGGAGTCCTGGTTTCCCACTCTACCAGTGTAGACCACAGCAGGGCAGCACGGATCTGAAGCCAGGGGCAGTGGCAGCTTCCTAGAGGTGGAAACACCACCATGCCTGAAACCAGCAGCTGGTGTAGCTTCCCAACCAGCAACTGCGGGGTGTGTGTGGGGGTGCTGATCAAGGATGAGGCAAGGCACAGCTCCCCTGCTGGCCTGGCTCTGCAGAGTGGGCTCAGGATCATTCCTGAAATCCCAGCTTAGGTTGTCTTGTCAGCCTCCACAGTGATTCTAGAAGCTGTTTAGTGTCCTGTGATAAATCCTTTTCTTTGTAAACTAGCTCACAAGGATGCTCTTCTTCGTAGTTGAACCATAACTGATGCACACACTACATGGGGTAAGGGCAGAGCTGCTGAGTCCTCTAAAGGCCCCAATGTCCTCAGTTCCCTGGGGGCACTGAGTCTTGCCCCGGGCCCTCACACACCACTTCCTGACCAGTCCTAACTTTAGTAGGACCCCATGAAGACCAAGAACCCCACTCAGCCTGCAGCCCTGGACCCAGTCCTTTCAGGGGACACTCTTGTTTTCACAAGCAGCCCTGTCCTAGCTCTTAGGGTACAGAGCAGGGAACTACTTTTCCTGAGGGCAGGAGAAATAGACATGTGCATTTATTTCAAGGCTGGCCCTGGAGATGGGGGGGGGGGAAGGGGAGGGCCAGTGAGCTGATGCTGTGAATCCCCCGACCAGTGCCTGTTCCCTAGTGAGGGCAGCACACGGCAGCCACAGGGATGGCCAAGCCCTCGAGTTCATCTCCTAGAGCTGTAGAAGCGGCACTCTGTCACCCTGGTGGAGTTTCCAGCCATATGGCTGTGCCCTTACCACTGTTCCCCCAGCACGGAGTGGAAAGCCTACTGGCAGCCTGGTCCTCCGCTTATTATTTGGCCGTCACTGGGCTACTCTTTGGGTCTTTTCTAAAGTAGATATGGTGCATTTTGGGGTGGGGGATCTCTGCAAACCTCCACCTGTGTCATTTCTTGACCTCCAAGTGGTTGGCAGCCTCCAGGATAGTGTGGAGAGGGAAGGTACGGGATAGACATGAGAGAGCTGGGCCCAGCATTTCCAGGGTGGCTGCTCTGACAAGTCCAAGGGCATCTGGGGAAGGGGATGGGCATACGGACTCCTGGAGGCTTCCTGCTGCCACACCTGAAGCAGGTGCCCAAGGACACCGCCATTTCAGTTCACTTGCTTACATGGATGGCGGTGAGGCAGGCTGGCTTCAGGGGCGCTGAAATGCCTCCAAGACTCAAGACCGGTAGGATGGTGGTGGTAAATTGTGGACGTATCTGAGCACCTAGGCGGACTGAGAATGCAAAAGTGGTTGCATTAGTTTCCTGTGGCTGCTGTAACCAAGCACCATCAACTGCGAGGCTTAAATAACAGAAATTTATGGTCTCAGTTCTGGAGGCTAGAAGTCTGACATTTAGGTGTCAGGTGAGTTCTGTTCCTTCTAAGACTATGGCTAGAATCCTTCCTTGCTCCTTCCTAGCTTCTGGTAGTCCCAGGCATCCCCTGGCTTGTACATGTGTCACTGTAGTCTCTGCCGATCATCACATGGGGTCCTCCCCATGTGTCGGTGTTCACATGGCTGTC